CCACAATGCAATGATGAGGTTTAATTTTGAAACAGCGGTGAATATATTTAACAGCCATTAACGCATCAGCGACAGTCTGTTTTGCAAGGTATGGAAGTTAATAAGATGCTTTCAAAGCAGTTTGAGACAGAATATAGGAATCTCTGTACAGTGGATTGAACAATTTCAATTGAGTTCCTTTGCAGTTATGGCGAGATGGTCAAGAAGAAAGCAAAGTCCCATTAATATACTGCAAAGAGCAGTGAAGAAGGTATGAAGACCTCATGAAAACAAGGGACTTATTCTTCAACCTAGGACAATGGGTAGAGTCATACAAATCCTTCCTTTATGTTGCCATAGCCAGCTGTGCTGCTCATAGCCCAACTACAGAGCCATTTATTCCATCACATTTACAGCTGTGTCTGGTCTGTTAGAGCCATCAGTGCACGCAATGGAAACCATGAATTCTACGGAGGATCAGTCTGCTAACCAACATCCACAGAAAACAGCATGAAACTTATATTGCCATCACACCCCAAATTCCAATTCGTCCCCCCTCCCTTTGTGTTAGAGAAATGTATTAATAATTGTTCAAAAGGAATTTTACAAACTAGCTAAAAAAAGTTACTAAATTTCCAAGCCAAGTGTGGAGAACTGGATAAAAAGGCATTGGGGAACAAAAAAGAAAAAAACAAAAAACAAACACCACCACACACTGGACACTTTATTAGGTATACCTGTTCAATTTCTTGGTAACAAAAATTGCTAAAATCAACCAATCCCAAGGTAACAACTCAATGCATTTAGATGTGGTGAAGAGGACTGTTCAAACAGAGCATCAGAATGGGGAAGAAAGGGGATTTGACTTTGAATGTGGCATGGTTGTTGGTGCCAGATGGGCTGGTCTGATCTACTGGGAATTTCATGAACAACCATCTCCAGGGTTTACAGAGAATGGTCAAAAAGAGAAAATATCCAGTGAGCGGCAGTTGTGTGGACGAAAATGCCTTGTTGATGTCAGAGGAGAATGGGCGGACTGGTTCAAGATGATAGAAAGGCAACAGTAACTCAAGTCAATATGGACCAAAATCTGAGGAATGTTTCCAAACACCTTGTTGGATCTATGCCACAAAGAATTAAGGCAGTTCTGAAGGCAAAAGGGTCCCAACCCGGTACTGGCAAGGTGTACCCAATACATTGGCTGGTGAGTGTAGATCCCGGAGTCCTGGTGAACTGCATTAACTTACATTGCATTAAGCCAGTGAATTCAAAAACGACTGGGCTGGCAATGTACCAGAAAGTTTTTGGGCAATACAGTGCACAGAAGTGTGCTACCATGCGTTGTGACAAACTGCAATGCATGTTTTAGAAATGTGCAGCCTTGGAAAGTTGGGGTGCTATAAAAAAGAAAAAAAAAAAATTTGCACACCACCACATTTGTGCACGCAATATGAGATTTGGCAACCACTTCAGTTGAAAAGGGTTCTCCCAGCTCCTGCTAAACGCTTTTGGCTGGACAGGAGAAGTGACAGAACTTCCATTTTCCCATGTTGAGGAGATATCCATTTTCTTCCAGACCCAGAGACACATTTAGCACATCTGAATCTCCCCAAAAGATGACACAGACAGCAAAAAGATAAAGGCCAGCAGAATTGAGGTCAGGAAACACCGCTGCCTTTTCAGTTATTACAAAGGCAGAACACCATCACCCACCAGTCTGATCTTCTCCATCCTCAACTCCTTCCAAGAATACCAGTTGCCTGGCTTGTCTGCCTTTTCTGAAACCTTGGGATAAAAATGGGAGCCATGCAACAACTACTTCCAGGAGAGGTTGGCAACAACAGGCCTCACAATTCTCTCAGTGCCGATTTTGGTAATGGCAGCCATCTTGTGGTGGGGTCAGGACAAGATTTCACCAATGTGGGGCACTATAGGCGACAAGAGGACTGGGAAACATTCAGACCCAATTCATATTATGCAGTGACAACACCTTACTGCACATCAAAGTAGGCCATCCATTTTGAATGAGCCGATTTGCTCAACACACGGATAATTCACACCTATCTTTAGGAAACTCTCGACATGGATGACAATTACCGCCCTCTAAAAAGTGATCCGTGAGGCTCTTCAGAGAGGGTGGTAACGCAGCAGCTTCCAGAACACCTTTACCCCAATGCCATGGGGAGATTTTGTACTGAAATACCATGCTGCAACCGCAAGCCTTGCGGCACAGTCCTACAGACCTCAATGGGCGAGTCTGACAGCCGGTGTTGCCTTTCAGACTTGGCAAGACAAGTTAAAATGAGTCATGGCCACGAAGCAGAGTGTAGTGGCCACAGCTTGTGTACAGACCCCTTTGGCAGAAATGTTTGCTTGTAGAGGGGCAGTAAATATGAGAGTAACCACCTGTTAATACCACCCATAGGCTGCCTGTGTGATAGAGGTCTAACAGTGCACTATAAAGTGTGTTGCGCTAGCTGTGTGCGCACGGTTTCCATTCAAAACTAACGCATTCCTGCATTATGGTAACGCATGGCCAAATGCACATAAAAGGTCTTGTTGACACAGGGCGTATTATAGAGTACGCCTGTAAGGGCCAGGTTTACACACATGTGAACGCGCAGCCATTTGCGCATTCCCGTGCAGGTAGCTGCACTGATGTCAATTGGGATGCAGCGGCTGCACAGACAGACGCTGCTCCCAATTTTGCAGTGCACGGCCCTGAAAGCAGACAGTGCACGTTTGGGACCATGCACCTGCGTGGATTTCAAAACTGGGAGCAGCATCTGTCCATGCAGCCGCTGAGTCCCAACTGACATCAATGGCGTTCCTTCATGGAAAACCTGTGCATCCCTGGTAAACATGGCCCTGCCCGGGCGTATGTCCCATGGGAACAAAAGCCTATTGTGCTTTACCACAACATGATCGCATGTGTGGGTCCTCGGCTTTTCTCAACAAGGCAATATCCATGGCAACCGATCAGATTCCGTCTGTCTGGGTTTGGTAAATTCTGGCCGGCTGCCATGGGCAGTTGACCTTTGATACTGGCGTTTAGCTTTGTACACCAATGAAGCTCACTGCAATACTGAATAGATTGGAAAATCACACAATTTTACCCCAGAACGCCAAAAAAAAAAAAAAAAAAAAAAAAAAAAAAAGGTAAAGAATATGGGGCAACTACACAAAAGGTCCCACTGAAATAAAGCCATGTAGAATGTTTTTGCTGAGGAACATTTTGCGTAAACAAATGTTTCAGTTGCCTATGACAACCAAATTGTCTTTCAGGTTCATGTACAGAATGGATAATCTTTCTGGTTGCTCCAGGTGACAAGCTCCATTCTTTCAGGCCTTCCCTACTACTACTAGGCCCGAGTGACATCACTGGGCCCCTGAATATTGGCCAGACCTGCAAGACTGTTTGTTTAATGACAGGGCCCCTCTATACGTCGTCGAGTTTGTTTAAAAATTCAATCGTGGAATCTGTGTGAAAGGTGACAGAAGACCCCGGCAGCGATCAGTTTGCATTCAGCAGCCACAGGGTCTCCATACATCACATTGCTTTACGTGTTTACATCCCCCAACGTGCCGGGACAAGGTACCTGGTTGAACTGGTTGGGGAATGAACATGGAGGCGTATTCCCATAAACTGTTCCTGACACATTCTGTTCCACATAAGAGTCACTATTGTACCAGCCCGTCTCTCCCACCCGTCTCCGCCGCCAGCAATGAAGCAGGTGAGAAAGCGGCCAGTCGTAGGATTGCAGAACAAGCATTTTGTTTTTTTTTAAATAGATAAGTTTGCCAGGTCTCCATAGCCTCTAATGTTACCAGGCCTCATCCACACTGGACATACCCACAGGGGTGACGCATCCCCATGTAGGCAATTCTATTGATGTCTAATGGGAAAACACCGGCTCTACAGACACAATGCCCATTGTGACATTCCTGTGGTGCAGGTCCCCAAATGCAGACATGCTCTCATACGGATGTCATATGGGACAAAGCGACCCAACAGACATCAATGGAGACAGCCTGCATGAGAATGCGCAAACACCTGTACATACCCCTGCAGGTAAACACAGCCCTGCACAGGCGTACATTGTGTGAATGAAGACCAAAATAGTAGAGACCTGCCGCTGCTGCGTGCAACCACCTACTGGAGGAGTCAGAAAATGTAGCTGTATGTGCCAGGGGCTCCATAAAGCATGTGTATTTCATAGAAGTGAGTACACCCTTCACATTTTAATTCTCTCTTTTCATGTGACAACACTGAAGAAATGACACTTTGCTACAATGTGACGTAGTCAGTGTACAGCTTGTATAACATGTAAATTTGCTGTCCCCTCAAAATAACTCAACACACAGCCATTAATGTCTAAACCGCTGGCAACAAAAGTGAGTCACCCCTAAGTGAAAATGTCCACATTGGGCCCAAAGTGTCAATATTTTGTGTGGCCACCATTATTTTCCAGCACTGCCTTCCTCCTCTTGGGCATGGAGTTCACCAGAGCTTCACAGGTTGCCACTGCAGTCCTCTTCCACTCCTCCATGAAGACATCACGAGCTGGTGGGTGTTCGAGACCTTGCGCTCCTCCACCTTCCGTTTGAGGATGCCCCACAGATGCTCAATAGGGTTTAGGTGTGGAGACATGCTTGGCAAAGGTGGTAGGACTGTGTGCAGGCCAGTCAAGTTCCTCCACCCCAAACTAGCTCATCCATGTGTTTAGGGAACTTGCTTTTTGCGCAGTCATGTTGGAACAGGAAGGGGCCATCCCCAAACTATTGTCACAAAGCTGCTCGCATGAAATTGTCCAAAATGTCTTGGTATACCGATGCCTTAGGAGTTCCCTTCACTGGAACTAAGGGGTCAATCCCAACCCCTGACAAAAAACCCCACACCATAATCCCCCCCCCTCTACCAAAAACTTTACACTTGGCACAGTGCAGTCAGGCAAGTATCATCCCCCTGGCAACTGCCAAACACATCGGATTGGCATCGAGAAGCATGATTGGGCACTGCTCTCAAGTCCAGTGACAGCGTGTTTTACACCACTGCATCCAATGCTGTGCATTGCACTTGGTGATGTAAGGCTTGGATGCAGCTGCTCGGCCATGGAAATCCATTCCATGAAGCTCTCTACGCACTGTTGTTGTGCTAATCTGAAGGCCGCATGAAGTTTGGAGGTTTTTAGCTATTGAATCTGCAGACAGTTGGTGACTGCTCTGTCCTGTGCTCTTCAGCATACACTGACCCCGCTCTGTCATTTTATGTGGCCTACCACCCCATGACAGAGTTGCTGTTCCCAGTTGCTTCCACTTTGTTATAATCCCACTAACAGATGACCGTGGAATATTTAGTAGCCAGGAAATTTCACAGATTAATTTATTGCACAGGTGACCACCTATCATGGTACCACGCTTGGAGTCACTGAGTTCCTGAGAGCGACCCATTCTTTCACAAATGTTTGTAGAAGCAGTCTGCATGCCTAGGGGCTTGATTTTATACAGCTGTGGCCATGGAGGTGATTGGAACACCTGAAACCAATGATTTGGAGGGATGTTCCAATACTTCTGACAATATAGTCTCTATATCAGTACATTCGATGATGAAGACTGTTCAAAAAGTACTTTAAAGTTTTGCTTGCTTAAACATTGTCTTTTGGAATAAATGTAAATCCCCAAATGAAAAGTCACATTCACTTTTAGAAATACATTGAATTGAGAAATTATTTTCCAACCACACTCCTTCAAATTTTCTACTTACTGCTGTTGAAAAATGGTCGTTTTGAGCACGCCAATGATTAAAAAAAAAATTGAACAAAAGGCTCTTAAAACAAAAAAAAAAAAAAAAAAATTTCAAAATTAAAAAAAAAAAAGTCTACTAGTGTTGTTTGGCCAGCCATACAGTCCTTAGATTTACACAGCTCTGCAAGACACAACCCTGTCTGGTGGGGCGGGAGACCTGATTTTGCTTCTCTGCAAAATTTAGTAATACATACAAGACTTGTTCCTCCCTCTACCTGGACGGCGAGAGGAGAAGCAGCAAACTAACGAGATCCTCTCTCTGATCTCCACTCCTACAAGCATGCTCCCAATAAGAACAAGGGACTGTAGATGAACTGGTTGGCTCTATGTGCAGCTTCTCCCTTCCTGTGTTTGAGCTCTGCCGTACAGGGCCTGCAAGAGGTTGATACCAGGTCAAATTCAGACACTTGCATCAAACAAAATACATTTAGAACCAGACAGAAATATAGAGCCTTTAGATACGCTGGAGTTCAGTTTTATTGGCGCAAAGTGTAATTGGCTACCATGGATCGGCCTTCTAAGGCAGTGAACAGACCACTCTTTTGAGCCAAATTAATTCCTTTACAAGTCTACAAACGAAAGTTACCAATTTATGAGTCTGGAACACTAAGATGGAGATGATGGCTTTGAAGTCATGACTATGTGAAATTCAATTGAAAAGTACTAATGAGCATTTTACAACCAGAAAAGAAGCTCTTCATCTACAGATTGGACGCTGGGTGGGAAAGTGCGGAGAAGGTCAACATTTACTGGTCCAGGGGCCCCTATTAAATGACAAGTCTGGGGGATCACAAAGGTTTGATGGCACCATGGTTATATGACCAACTGCTAGGAATTAACACCTTCTAGGGTGCTGCATGTCACACAAAAGAATTCTGGGAAGTCAAACAACAAAAGGCCAGACTGTAAAAGTGTGCACAAAATGTGTCACATAAAACTTCTCATATCCTGCCAAGGTTAAAGGGCAATTAAAATACAAAATCAAAATCGGATAAAAAATAGATTTTATAGGTACAACCCCTAAACAGTGTCATGTAAAACATTTCTTAGCCTAGCAGGGCTAAAGGGCAATTACATTTTAAAGTAGAACTAAAAAGGAATCATTTGTTTTTGACAGAGTGAAGAGAGCAATAAAAACTTAACAGATCTAATCTGTGCTAGGAAAAGTATTTAATTGCGCCGCAAAGAATAGCATTCGATTGGACAGGAATTTCATTCTTCAAAATCACATGCAGTTTCCCCACAGCTCCTGTGTGAGCCAAGGCTTGTCATAGCCAGAGTTCCCACTGGAGCAGTGCGGGGAAACCTCCCTGCACCAAACCAATACTGTCACAAAAGGAAAAACTGGGGATTTGAAATCCTTGCAGCTTTCTCTCCTCTCAGTGGCGGTGCTGACCAATCAAAAGCAGTCTAGCCCATACTGTCATCCCTGCACTGAGAGAAAGCTGAGCAAAGCAAAGTAGCGGTACTCGCCAATCAAAAAAGGCTATCAGTGCATCCCTACTGTCTGTGTCCCAGTTAGAGAGATTCACCCTATTTGTTTTAGTGACTTATCACAGAGACTGACAGTGAAAGAAATTTCCACATTTTGGGTTGTCACCACAACAGAACTAGAGGAAACATCCTCCAATGGGGGAATCTTCTAAGAGGGGACAGCTCTGGTGACAATCAGGGATTTCCTCTCATTTCCTGTTCTGGCTATGAGACAGAAAGGGAATTCTCAATGATGGGATATAGGTCACACAAGAGATTCAATTCCCCTTACAGATTCAGTGCAACTAGGTGGGGGTAAATAAACTATCATACTTGGCTATATTCTTGTGACTTTCTTCATACTTGTCCATTTTTGTGTTGCCTAAGCCTCGGTTGCCTTTTTACAGATGTTTGTGATACTGGGCATGCATGAAATGAAGTGCTTTATGTGCTCCTCATTTCGTGCACGTGCCTTAATTTGCTGGGGGGAAAAAAAAAAAAAAAAAAAAAAAAAAACACACACACACACAACACATAGCTGCAATGGGGCCCATGCCATGTGCTTCGTTTTATTATAGGTACTTACAGTTAGATCCATATATATATATTTGGACACAGCACAATTTTATTTTTTTTTCCCCCAGGTACTTGCCAAAACATATTCAAGTTATAGTTATATAATGGACATGAGCTGAAAGTGCACACTCTCAGGTTTAATTTGAGGGTATGTACATCCACAAATTAGAGGAAGGGTTTAGGATTTACAGCTCTTAAGTGTAGCCATCCCCCCTTTTTTCAAGGGACCAGAAGTAATTGAACAACTGAATCAAAAGCAGTTTCATGGCCAGATGTGGGCTACTCCATTATTTCTTCATCAATTAAGCAGGTAAAAGGTCTGGAGGTTATTCTAAGTGTGGTATTTGCATTTGGAATCTATTGCTGTGAACCTACATCATGTGTCCATGCAAGTGAAACAGGCCATTGTAAGGCTTCAAAAACAAAACAAATCCATCAGAGAGATAGCAGCAACACTGAGAGTGGCCAAATCAACAGTTTGGTACATTGAGGAAGGAAGAACGCACTGGTGAGTTCAGCAACCTAAGAAGGCATGGACGTCCACGGAAGACAACAGTGGTGGATAATCGCATGATCCTCTCTATGGTAAAGAAAAACCCACTAACAACATCCAGACAAGTGAAGGACACTCTCCAGGAAGTCTGTCAAAGTCTACAATCAAGAGAAGACTTCACGAGAGCAAATACAGAGGGTTCACCACAAGGTGAAAACCATTCATAAGCCTGAAGAATAGAAAAGCCAGATTAAACTTTGCCAAAAACATCTAAGAGGAAAATAAAAAAAAAAAAATGCCAGACCAGTTCTGGAAAAGCATCGTTTGGACAGATGAAAAGATTAAGCTGTACCAGAATAAAAACGGGGAAGAAAAAAAAAAAAAAAAAAAAAAAAAAAGTGTTGGAGAAGGCTTGGAACAGCTCATGATCCAAAGCACACAACGTCATCTGTAAAACATGGTGGAGGCAGTGTGATGGCATGGGCATGTATGGCTCCCGTGGCACTGGGTCATTGGTGTTTATTGATGATGTGACAGAAGACAGAAGCAGCCGTATGAATTCTGCAGTGATTAGAGATACTGTCAGCCCAGATTCTGCCAAATGCAGCAAAGTGGATTGGACACACTGCAAAAGCAACCCAGGAGCTTTTGAAGGAGAAGTGGAATAATCTGCAATGGCCGAGTCAATCACCTGATCTCAACCCAATTGAGCATGCATTTCACTTGCTGCAGGCAAAAACTAAAAAAGGCAGAAAGAGCCACAAATAAAGAACTGAAGACAGCTGCAGTTAAAGCCTGGCAAAGCATCAGAAAAGGGGAAACCCAGTCTTTGGTAATGTCCATGGGTTCCAGACTTCAGGCAGTCATTGCCAGTAAAGGATTCTCAGCAAAATATTAAAAATGAACATTTTATTTATGATTACATTAATTTTCCAACTACATTTGAGCCCCTGAAAATGGAGGGACTGTATATAAAAAATGGTTGCAGTTCCTAAAATTTGTACTTAATATTTATGATCAACCCCTTGAATTAAATCTGCAAGTCAGCACTTCAAATTCATTTGGTTGTTTCGTTTTAATTAATTTTGGTGGCATAGAGCCAAAAGTATGAAAATTGTACCCGTGTCCAAATATATATATTACATATACACACCTGACTGTATATAGGCCTGTCAATTTACACAACGCTTAACATGTATATTGTACATTCACATCAGTCCCTAACCCTTAAGGGGTGTACAATCTAAGGTCCCTAACTCACATTCATACATACACATACTAGGACCAATTTAGACAGGAACCAGTTCACCTACCAGCAGGTCTTTGGAGTCTGGGTGGAAACCGGAGTACACTGGAGGAAACCCACGCAGGCACAGGGAGAACATGCAAACTCCAGGCAGGTGGTGCCGTGGTTTGGGTTCAAAACCAATGACCCTATTACAGCCAGGCAGAAGAAGTGCTAACTATATAGCCACTGTGCACGTATGCTCCATACAACACTATGGACATCCCACCCCAGTAAATTAATGAAACTTACAGCACATGCGCAAAATAAGCAAATCAAACCACTTCATTTTGCGTATGCGCAGTATGCCATTACTGAGAGATCTCAAAGCTTAAGTAAAGATACCCTAAAAAGCAACACGTCAGAAGTTAGGTGATTTCAAATCAGCATGCAGAGAATACATGGGAAAGGAAGGTCCACCAAAAAAAAAAAAAAAAAAAAAAAAAAGGGAGGAGAAGGAAGTTACTGCGTCCCCTCAAGAAGTGAAAGCCATCTGTCTGCCCTGCTCTTTGCAAAGAAGCAAGTCATCTTGAGTACAAGGTTGCCTCATCCCCAATTACTCAAGACCGCGTTTTTTTTTTTTTCTCTGGAAGGTCAGGACTGCTCACTACTGTTCAACAGCAGGCTACAAGCTTCCGGGTCAACCAGCCACCTTTAGGGAAGGGCCAGCACCTATGGGCACATTTACCGGTTCAATCACCTCCACCATAGGAGGTATCAATTGGAACTTTTTAAAAGTTGCCCAGACACAAAACTAGAAACCAGATTGGGCAAAGAGCATCTGATGCCTACAGACACCTCAATGAAGAATTCCAGGTCTTCGATCACCGTAAAGCCTCATACAAAAAAAAA